GCACAGCGTGGGGCAAGCGGAGGGGCCTTTTGGGGAAGGCAGCGCTCCCTTGGTGGCTCCTGAGCGGACGACACGGGCCAAAGCGGCAGCAGCCCGTGCAGGAGGGAAGCGGCCTGCAAGCTGCGAGCCCAGAAGGCCTCACGCGAGGGCGCGCATCCATGGGGGCAGCAAGAGGACCACCTCGGCGCCGCTCAAGGCCCCGGCAGGGCACAGGGGCTGCGACCGCGTCCGTGGGCAAAGGCGGTGGGTCCTGGCGGAGGGATGCTGCCCTCTCGTGGCCTGCGCCGAGGATGGCTCCCGGCCTCCACAGCCCTCCGGCACCGCCACGCTTCCCGGTGCGTGGCCCCGGCCGCCGCTGGCCTCCCCTTCCGATACCCACGGAAAAACCACGGAAAACCTTGGGAGGACGAGTCTCACCACACAGATGCATCGCCTTCCTGGATGGCAATACATTCCAGCTCCTACATGCTCCACGTTCATGCTCCCTGTCCCCTGCAAACAATGTCCCGCCAGTGTCACTGCCTGCCTGCCTGTCCCTGGGGGCCACCATGTCCCCGCATCACCCGACCGCTGCTCTTAACCGCCCAGTGCCATTAGCCTCAACCTGGAACAACTTCTCAGATCATGGCTCTTCCAAAAGGATCCAATCTTGTGTCCTGCCAGACCCAAGGCCACTGCATGTAAGGGACGTCTGTGTTCGCTGTGGGCACAACGACATGGTGCTCGTGTCTCCTTCACTGTCACCCTGTTTGGGCAGCCGAGCAGGGGTGTCCCCTGGCTAAAACACGTGGCACCAAGGGGTCACCAAGGAGCAGGAGCAGCCTTTGATGTGGCACTTCCCCCTCCTGTGCTTTCTGCCCCAGACCTACCCATGGCCGGCATCTCCACGTGGGGAGCCCAGGGCTGTGAGCAAGAGCCAACAGGGTGGGCGGGTGGAAGGAGCTGACGGCCGGCAAGGAGGAGAGATGTGGCTGCTCTTACAAAGGATTTCATGGAAAGCAATGATGACTTGTTTTTAAAAGGTCTTTAAAAGCTTGTTAAGAGCCTCATAAAGGGCTGCCCCCACAGCACTGCTTCGGCAGCATGTGTTAGCCCCATGGGAAGGAGCAAGCTGGACTTTACAGGGGTCCTGCGCCACGCTCCGGGGACAGCCCCCTGCCCCGTCTCGCTGGGAGTCCAGGCCCTCCCTGCGCCGGCAGGGTGGAAAAGGCCCTTAACGGAGGCCGCTCCGCAGAACCGGTGAGCATTGACGGCTCCGGGCCTGCTCCGGAGGCTGCTCCAAGCGCCGGTGGCCCAGGCAGCCTCGCCAAGAAGGCCCTGGTGAACTCAGTGCCCACACAGTTTGCCGTTTTCCCCCAAACGCTCAGGCGTCAGAATGCACGAAAAGGAGCGCAACACGCAGGGATTTTGCTTCCGGAGCGAACGTCCCAGCAGCTGGCCCTGCACGGGACAGGCGCAAAGCAGGGAGCCCGTAAGGGAGGAAGGGAGGGCGACGTCTCCAAGGCTTATCTGCAGCGTGCGCGACACTGCCCGCGCCGCTGTTCCTGGCAGATACCTCCTCCACCCGCTGCTTCTGATCTGCAGGCACCAGCCGGGCCTCCAGCAGCCAGAGCAGAGACAGCAGTGGGGACGCTCGCATGGACGACATCAAATGGAGCGTCCTGCTGCTCCCCAAGCCTCCAATGTCCCCCCTGCCCACCGCAGCTGCACCCAGCACCGGCCACCACCGCCAGACATGGGGCTGCTCTGGGAAACGAATTGGGATCCGCCTGGATGCGCCCCACATGGCTCCTTGGATAAGCAACCACAGCTGCGTGCCCGTTCACTGCCTATTTTTACATGCCTCACCCAATCAAGTGATTATATTTACTGCTTAGGGACCTAAATATAGTTGCTTGCTTCAGCATAGTCTATGGAAAGGGCTGAAAAGTGCAGAATTTCAATATATGACGCAAAAACTAGCACATGCTAATAAAAAAATAAAAAAGAAGCTAAATCTGGTAGTAATATTAAACAAAAATCAGAATAAAAAAAGAATAAAAAAGACAAAACTCAGTGTGCACATATAGCTTAACCCATGTAAAAAATAGATATAATAAAGCTAGAAAGAAAAAAAAGAAACCTTGACAAGTGAAAGCCGCTCTGGACCCACGTGCTGTCCACGGCCACGCTTGGCCATGGCACCGACCCCATGCACACAAATGGGGGTGCACAGATCAGTGGGTGCACACATGAGGGTTGCACACTCGGGGTGCACACACAAGGGGTGCACACATCGGGGGCTGCATACTAGGGGAGCACACACGGGATGCTCCATGGCAGGGTGCACACACGGGGTGCACACACAAGGGGTGCACATGCACGGGGTGCGCACACACACACGTGCACACACAGAGTGAAGCACACATGTGCTGTGCACACACAGGCACACACACACAGGTGCACACAAACACGTGCACCCACATGCGCGCGCGTACACAGGCACACGCATACACACATGCACACACACGCGCACCCTTGTGCGCGCGTGAACACGCACACAAAGCCACACGCGTACACAAACGCGCACACACAGGGTGCACATACCGCGCACAGTGCGTGCACATACGCGCACACACGCACTCCACGCAGAGTGCACACGTGCGCACACACACGCAAACACATGCACGCGCACACACACGGACACGCGCTTACACGGACGCACGCGCGCACGCGCACACGGGGCGCTCCCAGGCGGGGCGCACGCGCAGCTCCCTGTGCGCACGCGCGCGGGGGGGCGCGCCGTACCCGGGTGGAGGGAGGGCGGGACCACCCCCGCCTCGCGCGCACGCGCAC